ATAGCACAGAGAAAACAAAAACTCTATTACGATTTGAAACGACGGGGAGTAACTTATAAAGTAGGAGATGAAGTATTAAAAATTAAGCATTCACTTTCTTCAGCACCAGAAGATAAAACCGCCAAATTTTTTCCACGATTTGAAGGACCATATGTCATAGAAAAAATAACTCAGGCTGTAGTGGTGTTAAAAGCCAGGAATGGTGAAACATGCTCCGCAAACATTGACCAGATAAAACCATACTATGACCGTAATAAAATGCAAATATTTAAAGATCTTTTGCAGGATCCGGCACCGCAGGCACGGCAGGCACTGCAGGCACAAGCTCCAGAGGTGGAACAACGACAAGCACAAGGGCAAGCCATTAGGAGGCAGGAGCAATTGAAAAGAAAGTTTCCCCGTTGGAAAATTGAAGGTAACAAGAAAAAGAAGCCGTTCCACCGACCAGAAAAGAGAGCGCACGACCACCCCCAGAATGAAGAAGGGAGAAGTACGACGAATGCAAAGAGAGCCAGGAGAAATAACGGCAACTATAACCCGGCCCCCAAACGGAAGATGTACTCATCGGACAGGACTCTACGCAGCAAATGTCGCCGAATTGCGGAAGGAACACCAGCGGCGGAGGAAAAGAAACAAGGAAAATTTAAACGGCCAGCTACGAGATCCAAGCAGGAACGAGAGAGAAGTGTCCCGGTTCCGCCAAGACCAGCTGCCATCAAACGGCCAAGACCACAGGCAGAGGCGAAAAAGAAGGTATTCAAGGGTGACCGAACTGGAGGGAAAAGAAAGCTCCTAGAGGAAGGCACTGAAGGGCGAGCCCGCACAAGAAGGAAGATAAACCAAACGCTAATCTTCGCTACCTTCCAGGACTGGGCAGAAAAAAGAATGTCCGAATATCACAAAGATAAGTAAAATTTTATGTTACTTTGCAACTTTAAGTTAATCTTTCATTCTTACTGCAAGTGGCAGAATTCAAGACGTTCACCTCATGTGAGGTCTACCTTTATTGCCAAAAAGGCGAGAAATGAGTTATTACCTATTTTGGTATTATGTTTTTCAATTACTTGCGAGTAAAACTAAAGTTGATGTATAATAGGAATGTGTAAATACTTGAATATTGTAAAAGTTATTGTATAAAATTTTATTTAAAACATTCTGGCAAGAAAGAAGTTTTAGTCTGAAAGACTTTTGAAATGTAGTATTTCAATGTAGAAGAATTGGCACTTGCTTGGAAAAGAATAGAAGTTAACAATGTACTACTAATGTATGTTTTAAAATGCGTAAAATTAACGGCATGTTAATATGTTCTTATATACAATGTGAACTGTTATTTTAAGTGTTAAGAAATACTGTGATATGTTAAAAGTGAAAGTAATGCCAGAAAATTTTAACTTATTTGTGTGACTGTAAAAAGACCAAATTATTGTGAATATGTATTAAAGGTTGAATGAATGTAGTTAGGCTCTCTGACGCTACACTTCAGAGTTAGCCACTTTCAGAATAGTACCTCAGGGTTTAGAGATAAAGATAAGGTGTGTTATGAGGTCTTGTTATGTTGAATTTTTAACACGTTAGTGTTTTGATTGTAGACGGTAGTGTTGAACACTTGTACATAAACACATTCGTGTTTGGTGTTTTCTTTTACAACACATGTCAGAGAGCACGGGGAGAGATAATTAAATAAAGTCATGAATGAAATAAGAATGTTAGGAGAAATATAAATATTCATGTTACTTGCCATTTAATTGTGTAACATTTCATTAAACTAGTTTTCCTTCCAGATCTCTGGAAGGAACCAGATTTCAACTAAAAGCTCCTGTTTAGATGCAGTACAGATGAAAAAGTAATTGTCCATGGAGCTCATAATGTAAAAACAAATTTTTTTAAAAAAATTTCTAGTTTCTAGTGAGGAATGTTTGTAAAAGATTGGCCTCGCGTTAGATTCTAGAGCTAAAAGTTTTCAACAAGGTCGTTTTAGACCTCAGTTTCAAACTAATTAACTCTGGCGGGAAGTATGTAAGGATCTTAAGTTTTACTAACGTTTATTTTATTTTAAATCTTTACTATCACTTCTTATTTTCTACTTCCGGCCAGAATTAAAAGCTTTAACTTATTTATGCAAATTTGTCTGGCGAACACCAAGTACTTAAGTTGTGGCTTTTTGCCAAGCAAGGGAGAGGAAGGAGTTAGTAGAAGCAGGCCGCTTGCCTTAGCAGTTTAACTCGGTTGCTGGTTGCCTTCCAGGCCAGAGGTTTAATCCTCTTGATAATTTTAAACGTATTGTAGTGTTAACAGTTCTCTGTACTACATACGGCTTTCTGTTAATATACAGCCAATCTTCTCGGAGGCCCTTGTTTGTTATTCCAAAGTTAAGTTAGAGTTTAGTTAATATTTTTATATTCTTACGTTCAGACCACAAGTGGTTGGTCTCTGTATTCCGAAGTCCGGAAATCCTTGTAAAGAGTGAAAAATAAAGGGTTTCGTATACCCTTCCTGTGTATCTTGTCTACTTCCCACATTCATTGAACATAGCTTTAGTAAGCTCCCTGTTCCGAGTCAGGTTTTTGAATGTTCCCCAAGCAAGTAAGGTGGAACACTGAACCTGATAACTTTGTGTAGGTTAGTTCCAAACGCTCTTTGCAAGTCAGATAGAATTTTCATTAGTTCCAATAATTCAATCAGATTACTTCCGTTTGGCAAACTACTGGAGTTCATGCCGTTTCTACCGTTCTTCGTTTTAAATAACTGTACTTGAAATAAGGGCATGGGGGCCCGAGTCCTATTTTTGTCAGCTGCACTACTTTTTGAACCTTGAATCCTTGCTTAACTAACTCATGTTTGATTTCGGAGACCTCGATATCAGAAGGAAGATCTTTCAGCAGCAGATTAACAGGCTTTTCATGCCTAAAATTGACTAAAAAATGATCGATGTCGTTTTCGAGAAAGTATTTACTCAGAGTCCTATGATCATTATCAGTGCGGGGTAGAACCTTTAGAAATTCACCACTAAGACGCAATAAAAACTTGACATCAGGTAGTTTAGCGGCTAAGTCCTTAGCAAAATCATTAAACTTAACGTTTGCCTCTGGCCTAACCATTATGGGGGGGGGAATTACACGTTTAAGAACAGTAGAGGCGTGCTGTTGAGAACTACTAGCATTTACATTTATATTACAAATGTTATTAGATGAAATATTTGCAGATACATTTGAGTTTGAATAAGCTACATCATTATTTTCAGGCTGAGAATTGCTATCACAGTCTGGAGTTATGACTTAATACTTCAAATTTATTAGATGTAGTTGCACAAAATTTAGACTTAGCTTTAGGAGCTCTAGCATTGGAACGACCTGCTAGGTATAAATTGCACTTACCTTCTAATTTGGAGATTTGTCTGTTGAACAGCTTTATTCCATCAAGAAATCCCATCTTGAAATTGTCCGGTTCAGTACAGTCCCTTTTAGCCCACCTTTCATGCAGAGTACTTTTCACAATATCGCGTTGATGTTTTACGTAGTTTAGCAATTTTGGCTTGTGCAACATCATAGTCAAAATTCTCTGAATCACAAGCAGAACCCCAGTCTGCAATTACACATTCATAATTTGAACTAGATCCACTGGTATTAGCAGACGGAAATTGGTAATAAAGTTTTGAGCCAATATACCTGAGCAGAGGTAGCGAGATCTTCACGAGGTAACGCGGGGAGATCATCCCCGTCCGCCGCGTCTGAATCAGAATCCATCGCACACTCTTTCCACCAGTCGATCTGGACCTATTTGTCATGGCCAGACTCCCATATATTTAAATCTTAAGTAGATAATTAAAAAAAATCATTCTAATTAGAAATTATCTAGAAATACTAACAATAAGTTAGAAAAAGAGCATATTTTATTCTATAATAAAAATAAACTCAATTTATTCTGATTAGAAGTGTACTTAGTTTATTTAGAAATTAATTATATGTATTACACATGGGATACTGTGAGCCATAAGTAAGGAAAAGGAGCATATTTTGTAATTTCTTGTATAAAAATAAAATTATCTTATTCTAATTACAGCTGTATTTAATTTATTTAGAAAATAATTAAACATCAAATTCAAAACGTCTACTGACAAAGTCATATGATCATCAGCACAAAGATTTATATGCAAAGTCAGGACACCCAACCAAAGAACGTCTACAATACATATTTTATGACCCAGGAATCAAGGAATCAACCATATAGAAAGAAAATACCCCGTTCCTTTTTCCCGATCGGGCCCACCAGCGGCCGAGCAGTAAAGTCGCTGAACACTGGTAGTTCGGTCCGAGGTTCGAATCCCGCGAACGGGCTGGCTGCATGGGCGTGTTCGTGGTTTTCCCATGTCTATAACGTGTATACGAGCCAGTTCTCTTAGAAAGTCCTCCACGCAGGCATTCCTCCCCTTAGGCAGATAGCCTTCGAGGCTTTGCCATAATCACATACACCCACACCCTTTTCCCTATCTTAGTTAACATCTGGGCTAGCAACCAGTGGCGTAGCTAGGGTGAGGTAAAGGGGGGACATCTGCCCCGGGGCGCAGTATTCAGGGGGCGCCAAATTGATGTTACGAAATTTTAGAATGAAATGTTTTCCGCTCTTGGCACAGAGAAAGAGGCGCAAAATCTTCAGCTGTCCCCGGGCGCTGAAAACCCTAGCTACGCCTCTGCTAGAAACCTCACTGTTTGGCGTCTTTCGCACGCGATTGCAGGAACCTCGGCAAGTTGCGGTTATATAGTATCCCCAATTTTTTAAAATTGTTTTATGAAATACCCGATTATAACTCTAACGTGTGAAAATTTATGCTGAATGTGTTATCTTCTTCCAACCTGTTGCAGGCATTTCAGCAACATATAAATTTTGCACTTTCTTCATTATCTCATCGTGCTTATGGAGAAATTGAAATGAGTTATTTTTATAGCTATTTTATGATCTTTCATGTCTTCCTGAATTTGGCAGTTCTTTTTGGCGACATTTGGGTGCGATAAATAAAACATTGATAACTTTGTTATTTGTGGTAACCCTCAATACTGAACTGAAACACATGCCGCCATTTCTGTCCACGTAACTTAAAGGAATTTGGTAGGTGTCAGAGCTTTGATGGCGGGAGGGATAAATTGTAAGTTTTTCTTAAAGTTACTTTTGTGTAATATAAAAACAAAACTTTTTAAATATCATGCTTAAAAAGCTAAACTTGATAGTTAAAACTGATGCTTTTAATATTACATCTTATGATTTTTGACATTTTTTCGAATGTGAACTTTATATATTTGTAGACACTGCTCTCACCCTCCCCCCCCAAAAAAACAGATTTTTAGTAGCATGAGGTAAACTCTTGCTGTTTCCTTTGCTAAGGAACCACAAGCAAATTTAGACTTCTTACATGTTTCTTAAAATGGGCAATGATCTAAACTATTAGCATGAATTCATAGAGCAAAATCAGGTTTTCATTATTGTTTTCATAACATTTTTATAATTTACCTGACTATAAAAAATATAATGTTGCCTAGATTATGGAATATACTGCTTATAATTTACAGCTCTCAAAGTTTATAAATCTCTCAATCTAATAGCTGTATATGAACAACCTTCATTGAGTATCATTACTTTTATTAATAGAATGTTGACATAGCAGTCGACTTTTTATTTTAAATTTTATGCAAATTTTCTGCATTACTTCAGATTTCTGTTAGATTAACATTTAATCTAACAGAAGTCGGATTTTTTTGTAATAAAAACTCTGTAATAAAAGTAAGAGTACAGTTTATCTGTAAAAATTTGATTACATTGCAAGTACTTAAATCTTGATTTCAGTGTCTTTAATTGTAACTAAAGTTTTGATATATTCTTATAAAGTTAAGATATATTCTTATTCTATTATAAAGTTTAGACAGATAGAACAGAAGGCACACTTTGTGCTTACGACTTAGTACTAACCACTTAGTAACCACTTGTGGCAAGATAACTTATGATAACAATTAATTTCAAATGTAAAATTTGAATTAAAATAAACTAGTAGCCAAAGGCTACACAAATTAATTTAATGTGAAGTTAGCTCAAAACTTAACTGGCATGGAATTCAACTATCAGCAGTCATAATACAAGACTGAAGAGTACAAATCTTATGTTATCTAGCAACCTAGTGACCTGGCCTCGAAAGGCAAAACATGGTTTGTTTTATAAACTAAAAATCTCATTTGAATTCTGGTGGGAAAACGAAAGGGGAAAGTGATAGTAAAGATCCCAAACATAAAATAACTCTGTTTACAAAATAAAGAAACCTTGCATTATACTTTGTTCCCTGATTAATTATTTACTATATGAAATAGTGTAATGCATTTTTGTTTGCATCATATACAAATTATTTATTTTATTTAAATGCTGTCTGAATCAGAAGAGAATTTTGGCTAGATATTGACCAAATTTTTCGACCTATAGATACAACACGTCTTCAATTCAGAAATAAGATTTATTTTCTAAGAAATCAATTAATTGCATGTGTTAAGAAACATCACTCAATTGCTGCTGGAAAGATAGTTTCAGAATGAAAAAAAAAATGAGGTAACTACAAATATTATTACCACAATTTTAAACCATTGCTATGTAAAGTTTTCATTAAAAATGATGTGGATAGCTACAGCAGTGTAAACCATAGAAAAATAAAAAGTAACATTATTTTCAAAATATTTCATTTAACTCATAATTAAAAACATTCTCTTTTCCTTAATTAAAACAAGCTAACGTTTGTTGCCAGATAGTTATTGCAAAAGGGCAAACAAACTATAGGGATCTGTATTTAAGAAGAGTGAACAGTATTTATAACAGCATTTATGAATAGAAAATAAATATATATGCAAGCTAGCAGAGGACGGATGCCTTCATAAAGGAAATTTTAAGAGAAACTGGATCAGATTCATATTACATATAAAGAAAACCACAAAAATTCCCATATAGCCAGCCTTGAACTACATAGTGTTCAGTGACTTATTACTCTACTACCAGTATATTCCAATGACTGTTCGAATCTTTCACAGAAATCATCAGTTATGACAATTGTTGTTATGTATTATTACCATTGGTACAGAATTTACTCATTATGATAATTTAATTTTAACTTTTAAATTATAATCATAATTTATTTGTAAAAAATTGTGTGATTAAAAAATACACACTTCTTAATATTATTACCATTTGCATAATTTAATTCTTAAGTATTTCTAACACTGTTACAAAATTTACTCGTTATAATAATTTAATTCGATTTCCTTCAATCTGAAACGTTTTCTTATTTACTTTTAATAACAGAATCTAAGAAACTAAAATAACATATATTAGCTTTAAATGCATTTATTATCTTTTGTAAATTTAAAATATTTCCTAAAGACTAATATAATATAAATATTTACTAACTACTTAAAATATTAATTAATATTTAATATAATTAATATTATATTTCATTATTTAACATATTAACCTTTTGTAAATTTCATTACTCGTAACATAAACACTGCCATAAATGAATTTATGAGAGCAGTATTAAGTGTTAAAAATTAGAGAAAGACTGTATTTTGCAGTATTCTAATTAAGAGCTTATTTTTCATGTTTGTTATTTAGTCTAGATATATTTATCCTTAATGGGTTTTATTGACAATCCACCATTTTATTCCCATCATCAAAGCAGGGTCTACCTTGGCGACAAATGTTTGTCGCCAAATCAAAAAATTGCCAAAAGGACTAATAGTAAAGCTAAGCTGAAATTCTCTTCCATGGAATTTGATTTGGAGTTTTATTCACGAAAGCAAAGCCAGCTCTCTTTTGCTTGTTTTAAACAGCCAGCTGGTATGTCCTGTAGAGCAGGATTTAAATTTTTAAAATTCTGTTACTAGGGCAGACTTGCTAGTTCTCTTAATTTTACATCATTTGATAAATGAGCTGCGTAAGGAAGTATACAATTGTATCTTATGTAACCTTATTCATCTGTCTAGATAAAATATAAATATTCCATGATTGTAGATTTATATCAAATAATATGTTAATACAGTCAAAAGTCGTTAATTCGGGACACCCATAATCCGGAATGATCTATAATTCGGACCTCAAAGCTACAAACTTTCTGCGCATGTGTCGCGTTGACACATGCACGTAAAACCTTTATGGCTGCGCATATGCGTGTGCGCATGCGTATGATAGGTTTACGCATGCACGTTTAATGTATAACGGATGGTATAAGCTAAAATTATCTATTTCAGTTAATGTTGCAGATTGCATTGTTCCTTAATCTTCGAATTGGATCTGGCTTATTATTTTTTGCAGACTGTTAGAGCAATTTAATAAAAGTAAGCTTGAACTTTCGATTATGTCAAATAAATATTCCATGATTGTAGATTTATATCAAATAATATGTTAATACAGTCAAAAGTCGTTAATTCGGACACCCATAATCCGGAATGATCTATAATTCGGACCTCAAAGCTACAAACTTTCTGCGCATGTGTCGCGTTGACGCATGCACGTAAAACCTTTATGGCTGCTTAAACCTTTATGATGCTGGAGCTCCCAAAGGATCTACAAAGCGAAAGTATGTTTCAATGTCCATCAAACAAAAAGTGGAATTGCTGCAAAAAATGGATAAAGGCATATCCTTTGTTTCTCTAACCATTCCGAAATCTGTTTATCAATTTCACACTGCTCTGCGGCCGGTGGGGGGGGGGAACACCACGGCACGCAATGAATTGGAAGTTGATCTGTCAGCACTATCCTTATCTTCAGGGCAGATGTTTTTATTTTATTCAGCTTATAATTCCTACTAAATGTCGTATTTCGTCTCAATGTACTCCGTCTGTGATATGATTTAAATCAAATTCCTCGTCATTATAATTCGCTTCCGATAGTGAAGAAAGTGACACAGAGGTTATTGAAAACGAAATAATTTTGATTGACAAATTAGTCGGTATTCTCGACACAGCAATTATAGGACTTGAACAGCGGAACTTTGTAACTGAAGAAGAAATTATGTCTGTTTATAGAATTAAAGAGAAAGTATTATCACATAAAATGAAGCAACTTAAACAACTTACATTGAAAGAAATGTTTAATAAAGTAAACAAATAAATATTAAGCTTTTTTTTTGGTAAATTTTGATACCCTCTAGATCATAATTGTTCTTTATTTCATAAATTATGGTTTCATATAGCTTTAATTTTATAATTTTTGCATGCTATCTTACCAGATTTAAACTGATGATCTATAATCCGGAAAAATCGATAATCTGGAATCACTGAAGTCCCGACGAGTCCGGATTAACGACTTTTGACTGTAAGAACTGAAGGCTTAAAAAAAAAAAAGGAATGCTTAAATTGATGTGCAGATTCAAGTATTATAAATTTGCATACTTTTTTTATAAGAGGAAAAATTTATTATAAATTCATCCATTAATATTATGCCCTTGGCAAAAATTGGCGATTGGCCAGCAAGGCGCAATTTCAAGATGGCTGACACAAAACCAAAATAACAAGTCAAAGAATTGCACAAACTTGGTGTCCATCGACGCATCGATCTATTTTCACTTAAAAAAAAATTAGGAGAATGATGACGTTGTATAATGTTAAAACAAAGTTACTCATCAACAAAGTTACTCATCACCAAAGTTTAACAAAATTTCTAACCATTCGAAGCTCAATAAACTGCATTTTAAATCACACAATGAAATAACATAAAAAAAGAAATATATCTTATCACATATACGCAATACAAAAAGGAAATATTGATTTACCATATTTAAGAATTTATGTGTCTTCAGTCTGTGGCATACAAAATTCTTTAACAGCATCCAAAAACTTTCAAAAATGATCTGAACTAGAATATGCATAGTGCCATCACTACATAAATTCACAATAAATGGAAAAAAAATCTGACAGTCTTCAGATTTTACTTTTCTCCCAAAGGGGCGTTTTTTTAACATTTTCTATGTTACGTTTATTTATTAAATATCATGTTCTTCGCACTTAAGCCATAAAATTTAATACAACAGCAATATTGCAAAATTATTTTAAAATGAGCTTATCTTTTAGAATTTCTGATGAACAGTCTCACGTGCTAGTGATAAAAATGTTTTTTTTT